ATTCGTTCAAAATGTAGCTTTGCTGTAACCACACGCCAAAATGTGCAGCTCCAGCATTTGCACTTATTTGCGCAGACGACTGTGATTGTAAAATAGGACATCTGACCAATCTATAGCACCTGTGCATATTGTTTTATAAATATTTCCAAACACTTATAGCTACCTACAGAGCCAAATCCACTTTCTCTACAGCTTGTAAGCCTCACCATTGTTTCAGTGCAATTCACAAAACATACACCATTGGTCCATAGTTGCTTTGTGTGTGTGGTTCTGTACTATACACCAGACTCGAAATGTTACCTTAGTTATCGCAGCCCACAAATGTTTGTGACCCTCCCACATTTTTCACACGGCCTCCATAAGTTATAATGGAGGCCTGTAGTTCAGTCAGTGGTTAGAGCACTCGTCTCGCAAGTTAGAAGACCTGGATTTGATTCCCAGGCAGGACCAAACATTAGTCAAGTTTACTTACTCCACACGCCTCCGGTTGCGGCCTTCCCAACTCTTCCCTTCACAAGCTGCAGATCATCCAAAACTCTGCAGCTCGTGTACTCCCACACCAGGCTCCGTGATCCCATCACTCCCACCCTCGCCTGACTCCACTGGCACCCCATTCCCCAGAGGATCGAATTCAAGATCCTCGTCCTCACTTTCAAGGCCATCCATGGCCTTCCCCCTCCTACCTCTCTGACCTGCTGAATTCCTACAAACCTGCCCGCTCCCTCCGTTCAGCGGGCTCCAGCCTGCTCCATGTCTCCCGCCCGACCTGCCCTACCATCGGTGGCCGGGCTTTCAGCCTCTGTGCCCCCACACTCTGGAACTCCATCCCATAGTCCCTTCACCTCACTCCCTCTCTTGCCTCCTTCAAGGCCGGTCTCAAGACCCTCCTCTTCGATCGTGCCTTCAGTCATCCTCCCACCTCTCTGCCTTCCCACACCCCTACCCCACCCGTGATAAGGTGTAATATCAAACGCAGGGATTATTATTATATGGCTTTGGATTATTTTCTTTAGCAATAAGTTTATTTAAGCCATTTTAAAGTGATTTCTGACAAATCTGCTCAGAATAATCGAAGGTTTAACAAAGAGATATAGAAAGAAACTTTTCACTGGAGATCTGACAAGTCCCACAAATTTTGTAATTTTGTTCACAATTGCATCATGTTTATTTGGGAATTGAGAGTAAAGTCGGCAATGTTTTGGTTTGCTAAACAACGAGCAATCAATTTTTTTAATCGACCTGGTTGAAGAGGTCGAAATATTAAATATTTTCAAAGTTAATAGTTTTCTGGTGATTGAATTGAACAAAGAAAATATTTAATATTTCTACTCTTGCCACCAAATCAATTGAAAAACGTTTGTACTTTGGTTAGTAAATAGAATCTTTGCCAACTGTATTTTCAGTTTGCAAAAGTAAACTTTAGGCACTTTCAAAACAAAGACAAGTTGGGCCGGAATGGTCTGTTTCTCCGCTGTACATTACGTGATTCTATGTGAAAAAAATCCTCACAGATCGCAAAAAGCTGTGAAAATCTCTTGTTCTTTAAAGTTTTGTTTTTGTCTGGATTGATTGCAAATAGGATTGTTGGAAAAGCTTTCAACTCCGTCCTTCAGACTAGGGAGTTTCTCTCTCCTGGTGGCCTGGCCAACAGTCCCCAAATAAAATTGCTCATTCATTTCATGGCTGCTTGTGGGAGATTGCTGTGTGTAATTGGGATGCCAGTCATTTTCCTACAAAATACAGTACAAATCCTGTGAAGCGCTTTGATACATCCTTCCGACGTGAAAGATGCTATATTAACGCAAGGATTATTGCTTTTAACATACTCCAGTTATCTAGGCAATCTTATCTTTATGAAATCAGTTTTTGTTTTAGTAGTTGCTGTACATTCTCTTGCACTTGTTGGTAAAATAACTCATCAGCTGTGTCGTTTGTAGTAGTTTGCAGTGGCGATTTTACATATACTGTTTGAGGTGCCGGGAATTAACAGATCTGTAAATTGAAGCTAGTTAAATATGGGTCAGTATGGGTAGAGGTATGTAACAACAAGGGGCAGAAAACTCTAGTGGGAGTAGTTTATAGACCCCCCAACAGCAGTCACAGTATCTCTGAAGGTATAAATCAGGAAATTAGCTGAGCATGTAGTAAAGGAAAAACATTAATTGTGGGTGATTTTAATCTGCACATACATTGGGACAACCAAATTGGGAAAAGTATGATAGAGGAAGAGTTTATAGAATGTATTAGGGATAATTATCTAGATCAGTATGCTGAGGAGCTGACCAGGGAACAGGCCATATTAGACCTTGTTTTGTGTACTGAAGCAGAGCTGATCAGCAAACTGGAAATTAAGGCTCCTCTAGGGCAAAGTGATCATAATATGATGGAATTTAGCATTAAGTTAGAGAGAGAAGTAGTTAAGTCCGAAGCAAAGGTATTAAATTTAAGTAGAGCCAATTTTGCTGGTATGACAGAGGATTTAGCCAAAATAAACTGGGAAATTAGACTTAAGGATTTGACAGTAGACCAACAATGGCAGATGTTTAAGGAGATAGTGCAAAATTCCCAGCGAGCACGTATTCCTTTGAGGAATAAGAATGCCACGGGAAAGGTGGCCCAACCGTGGCTAACTAGAGCAGTTAGGGAAAGTATAAAGTTAAAGGAAGAAGCATTTGACAAAGTGCCACACAAAAGGCTATTGTACAAGGTCAAGGCCCACGGGATTAATGGGAACATATTAGCGTGGATTGAAGAATGGCTAACGGGTAGAAAACAGAGAGTAGGGATAAACGGGTCATTCTCGAATTGGCAGATGTGACTAGTGGAGTGCCACAAGGATCAGTGCTTGGGCCTCAGCTATTTACAATTTACATCAATGATCTGGACGAGGACATTGAATGTAACGTATCTAAATTTGTGGATGACACTAAACTTGGTGGGAGAGTAAGCTCTGAGGATGATGCATAAAGATTGCAATTGGATATAGATAGGCGAGGGGAGTGGGCGAGTAGGTGGCAGATGGAATTTAATGTGGGGAAGTGTGAAGTTATTCACCTAGGTAGAAAACATAGAAAAACTGATTATTTTCTAGAGGGGGAGAGATTAGATAGTGTTAGTGTTCAGAGGGATTTGGGTGTCCTTGTACACCAATCTCAAAAAGTTAGTTTGCAGGTGCAGCAGCAACTAAGAAGGCGAACGGCATGTTAGCGTTCATTGCAAAAGGTTTAGAGTACAAGAGTAAGGAAGTCTTTCTGCAACTGTATAGGGCCTCGGTGAGACCACACCTAGAGTATTGTGTGCAGTTTTGGTCTTCTTATTTAAAAAAGGACATACTTGCCCTCGAGGAGGTGCAGCGTAGATTCACTCGGTTAGTTCCTGGGATGAGGGGACTGACCTATGAGTCATAGCTGACTGAATAAACTAGGGCTATATTCTAGAGTACAGAAGAATTAGGGGAGATCTTATTGAAACATATAAGATTCTTAAAGGGTTGGATAAAGTAGACACTGAGGGACTGTTTCCCCGGTAGGAGAATCTATAACCAGGGGTCACAGTAAAATTAAGGGTCAGCCTTTTAAAACATAGTTGAGGAAACATTTCTTCACTCAGAGGGTAGTGAATTTATGGAATTCACTACCCCAGAAGGCTGTAGATGCTCAGTTCTTGAACATTTTCTAGGCTGAGACTGATAGATTTTTTTNAAAAAATAGAGGGACTAGGGGATATGGGGATAGGGCGAATAACTAGAGTTAGCTCAGAAGATCAGCTATGATCTTATCGAATGGCGGGGCAGGCTCGAGAGGCCGAATGGCCTACTCCTGCTCCTAATTCTTATGTTCTTATGTTCTTAAACAAACAGAATAATGTTGTACAGATTATGCAAACTTCTCTTGTACCATTTTCTTTGCTTTTTGTAAATTGTGCATAATAACAACAACAAATGACACTCGTATAGCACCCTTCATGTCGAAAAGACGTCCCAGGGCGCTGGACAATCAGGGGTTTTGGACACGAGCTGGGAGTTGGGGTAAGCAGGGGTGGAGGGCAGTGGGGGAGGGGGTGGGAGGGTATTCGAAGGCTCGATCGAAGAGGAACGTCTTCAGACGGGACTTGAAGGAGGCAAGAGAGGGGGTGAGGCAGAGGAATTGCGGGATAGAGTTTCAGATATGGGAGCTGAGATGTTGAATGCCCAACCACCAATGGTGGGGTGGGAAGTGAGGGGGACCTGAAGCAGGCTGGTGTCCGCCGAGCGGAGGGAGCGGAGAATTGATATAAGGTTATGGGATCAGAGAGGTAGGGGGGAGCAAGGCCATGGAGGGCCTTGAAGGTAAGAAGAAGGGCTTTGTACTTGATTCTCTGAGAAATGGGGAGCCAGCGAAACCGGGCAAGTTCGGGGTTGATAGGCTCCTGGAGCCTGGTATGGGAGAAGCTAGAAGTTGCAGAGTTCTGAATAATCTGCAGCTTGTGGCGTGAAGTGTTGGGAAGTGAGCAGGCAGTTGGTGTAGTCAAGCCGGAATGTGATGAAAGCGTGGATCAGGGTCTCGATGGCCCGCGGTGAGAGGTAGTGGCGAAGGAGGGCAATGTTGCGGAGGTGTGGAAAGGTGGAACGGGTCAAGGCACGAATGTGGAATTTGAAGGATAGCTGAGGGTCAAAAAGGTTTCGGATTGGCTCGGTGAGGTGAAGAGTGCAGCCATGGATGGTGATAGTGTCAGCGGCTGAGGTGAGGAGGTGCTGCCCGGAGCTAAGCAGGAGGGCCTCTGTGTTGCCAACATTGAGTTGGAGAATATTAGCTCTCAACCAGAACTTGATGTCAGACAGACAATTAGCGAGGACATCAACGGTCCTGGAGTTGAGGGAGGAGACTACGAGATAGAGTTGGGTATCATCCACATACATGTGGAAATCGACCATATGCCTGTGGTTGACATCATTGAGCGGTAGCATGTATAGATTGAAGAGGAAGGGACCAAGGACAGAGCCCTGAGGGACGCAGTACATGATGGTGCGGGGGCTGGAGGATAAGCCGTTGGTGGCCACGAAGTGCAGACGGAGGGAAAGGTAGGATTGGAACCAGGAGTGGACAGAACCATTGATGGGGAGGTGAGAGGAGAGATGGTGGAGAAGAATAAAATGATCAACAGTATCAAAATAAATAGTGGAGTCCTGTAGTTTAATGGTTAGAGTGCTTGCCTCTGTTTACGAGGCAGTAAGTAGGAAGCCGGTTATTAGTCAATTGGCCACTTAATCCATGGCTGTTTGTGGGTCACTGCTGTGCGCAATTGGCTGCTGTGTTTCGCCCACAAGATATACAGTCAATTCACTTTACAGTATATTCTGTGAAGGGCTTTGAGACGTCTCGAGAACGTGATAAGGCGCGATATCAAATGCAAGGATTATTATTATTATTTTTCAAATGTGTCCATCTGGTCCAGTTGATAGCACGTTTGCCTCTTGAGTCAGAAAGTTATGAGTTGTGACCATGTTGGGGCTTTTGAGCTCATCATCTCAGCTGACACTTCAACAACAACAACAACAACACAAAATTACATTTGTATAGCGTCTTTCACGTCGGGAGGACGTCCAAAGGCACTGGACAGTCAGAGTTGAAATGGGTCTTGAAGGTGGCAAGGGAGGGGGTGAGGCAGAGGAACTGCGGGATGGAGTTCCAGCAGGTAGGGGCCGAGTGGCAGAAGGACCGACCGTCAATAGTGGGTCAAGCAAAGTGGGGAACATGAAGCAGGCCGGAACCTGCTGAGCGGAGGGCGCAAGCAGGATGGTAGGAGGTTCAATGCATTGTATGCTTTCCTATGGATGAGATGTTGGACCGAGGTCTGTTTGCCTGATCAGGTGGACGTTAAAGATCCCATGACACTGGTTACAACAACAACTCGCATGTATATAGCGCAACCCCTCACCCAGGGTAGCATCCCAGAGCGCTTGACAGTGGCGAAGCACGATGCCGAGCCGGGGGGAGGGGAAAGTGACTGTAGGCACGGTCGAAGAGGAAGGTCTTCAGGTGCGACCTGAAGATGAGGAAGGAAGGGGCAAGGCAGAGGGATAGAGTAAGAATGTTCCAGAGTTTCAGGACATTGTGGCTAAAGGTGCGGCCACCTATGTTGGAACGGAGGGCACGAGCCAGTCGAGTGGAAGCAGTGGGTAGTGGTTAGAGAGGTAGGGAGGTGCCAGTGCAGGAAAGAGAGGGGAGTTTCTCCTGGTGTCCTGGCCAACAATCCGCCAGATAAAATTAGTTGTTCACTTCGTGTTTGTGTGACGTTGCCTTGTGCAAATTGGCTGCTATGTTTGCTTACAAATTCACAGTCGTTACAGTGTTTTACAGTAAATCCTGTGAAGAGCTTTTAGATGTTTCGATGATAAGGTGCTATTTTAAGTACAATGCAATCTTCAACATGAATACACAATATTTAGAAAATTGCAAGGTCATCAGTAGGATTTATATGGATGGATTCTTCTTTGGAATAGGAAAGGGTTCTATCATACCATCGCTAACACCATCGTTGTTAAAATAAAGATTTATTCTTGGAGGTACTTTCTTTTCACGTGGGAATTTTAATGGGAGCATTACATTCCTGATCGTGGTCTCAGGCAATTTTCCAGCACTGGAATGTTTCAACTAAACACAGCCCTTCACATTCACATTGATGAAATCGCATTGCTGTTCCCTTCAAGCATTCCATATTGAGTATGTGAAGCAAATTGAGTGAAGGGCCAGGATTAACTAAGAAAATTATTTGCTTCAATTGAAAGCTAATCAGACTACTGTACACCAAACATGAACAGATTAAATTGCTTAAATCAAAGAGCTGTGTCAATGATAAAAATTCTTGCATTCAATATAGCTCCTTGTCTCTTCACAGCACCACTGTTTGTGGGACACTGCTGTGCGCAATTGGGTGCCGCGTTTTGCCCACAAAATACAGTCAAAATCCACTGTACAGTATATTCTGTGAAGCGCTTTGAAACCTCTCGAAAATGTGATAAGGCGCTATATGAAATGCAAGGATTATTATTATTGTAAATTTCCTTACTCCACACGCCTCTGTTTACCTAGTAAGTAGGAACCCAGTTCTTAGTCAATTGGAGGATCGCTGTTCCCAGAGGTAATAATCCCTTAAAAAAAACAAATTAAAAAAATGATAATATGGTCACTCAACGCACGACCGTTTGTGGGACACTGCTGTGCACAATTGGCTGCCACGGTTCGCCCATTTACAGTTACTTTACAGTATATTTTGTGAAGCGCTTTGAGACACCTCGAAGACGTGATAAGACACCATATCAAATGCAACATTATGTTATATATATATATATCTTGTAAAGAATTTAAATCAAGCTTTAAAGTAAGTATTGTTTCTTTCAGTTTGCTATGGGAAAAGTAAGTTTTCAGTTTCACAGGTTTATCACACCACTTGCTAACATCAGTGGTGTTTTTGTTCAATGTTTGTAATAGGAAATCCTATGACAAACTTAAAAAGAAAGATTACTAGGATTTGGTGATTGGTGGATGACGGATCCCACAGACTCTCGAATTTCTTTACTTTCAATTGAAGACAGCTTTGTATTTTAAGCTTCAGAAATGGAAATTGGAAATGAGCACATAAACACTGTGAATCTGATCCCAAAACTCCACCGCCCGTGTACAACAGCAACAACAACAAAATTACATTTATAGAGGGCCTTTCATGTCGGGAGGACTTCCCAAAGCGCTGAATAGTCAGGTGTCAGGGCCCGCGCATGGGGGAGAGGTGGTGGAGGGGTGAGGGAAGGCAGAGAGGTGGGAGGGAGACCAAAGGCACGATGGTCTTGAGACCGACCTTGAAGGAGGCAAGGGAGGAAGCGAGGAGAAGGGACCGTGGGATGGAGTTCCAGAGTGTGGGGGCAGAGAGGCTGAAAGCCCGGCCACCGACGGTAGGGCGGGTCGGGCTGGAGACATGGAGCAGACCGAAGCCCGCGGAACGCAGGGAGCGGGCAGGTTGGTAGGGAGTCAGCAGGTCAGAGAGTTAGGAAGGGGCAAGTCCATGGATGGCCTTGAAAGTGAGGACGAGCTTGATCTTCTGGGGGAATGGGGAGCCAGTGGAGTCGGGCGAGGGTGGGAGTGATGGGGTCACGGAGCCTGGTGCGCGAGAGTACGCAAGCTTCCGAGTTATGGATGATCTGCAGCTTGTGAAGGGAAGAGTTGGGAAGGCTGATGAGGAGGGAGTTTCCATAATCGAGCCTTGATGTGACAAATGCGTGGATGAGGGTTTCGGCAGCCTGAGGGGGGAGGCAGTGGCGGAGTCTGGCAATGTTGCGGAGGTGGTGGTAGGCAGTGCTGGTCATGGCGCAGATGTGGGGGAGAAAGGACATTTCAGGGTCAAACAAAATACCCAGGTTCCTGACTGGCTTAGTGAGGTTGAATGTGCAGCCATGGATGTTGATGCTGCCAGCGCCCAAGGTGCGGAGGCGCTGGCACGAGCCAATCAGGAGGGCCTCGGTCTTGCTGATTTTGAGTTGAAGAAAGTTGTCCCTCGTCCAGGACTTGATGTCGGAAAGGCAGTCGGTCAGGACTCCAGTAGTCCTGGAGTTGAGGGTGGAGGCAGAGAGATACAGTTAGATGTCATCCGCATACATGTGGCAGTTGAGCGGATTTCCTCGATTTTGGATTCGAGTAAGACCAGCGTTTTCATGTAGTGAGAGTCAGAGGAAAGAATCTGCGAGGCGTGGAGTGGAGGGCGGAGGAGCCGGTTGGTGGTGGAGAACAGGAGGCTGGCGTTGCCCTTCGCCTCCAGGATTAACCTGGAATAGAAGAATGATTTGTATACTCACCTGTACTAAACTCTGTACCCCCACCCCACCAGTCCTAGCCAGGCTCCACTGGCTCCCTATAGCCGAACAGATTGATTTCAAGATCCTCACACTAGTTTTCAAATCTCTTCATGCCCTGGCACCTCCCTTACTCTACGACTTGCTTACTCCCCAACCTTCTGATGTCCCTCTTGGTGACAACATCCCCAGACGTCCACATGTCAACGTCCACATGTATGCAGATGACACCCAACTCTATCTCTCTGCCTCCACCCTTGACTCCAGGACCACTGCTGCCCTGAGAAGAATGTCTATCAGACATCAAGTCCTGGATGAGAGCTAACTACTTCAGTTGAACGTCAAGACCAAGGCTCTCCTGATTGGCTCCCGTCAGCGCCTCCTCACCTCAGGCGCTGTATAAATCTGACGTAACTGTGTTTCCACAGTGCTGTAAGATGTTCCCATTATAAACCAGTAGGCGACATAGTTGGAATGTTTATCTCCCTCAAGCTTTTGGTAACATAATAAAAAAAAGTACAGATAATAAATTTAATTTTCCGTACAGCATCCTTTGAGGTCAGCACTTTAAAAAAAATTAGGAGTTCGAAATAAATAAAAATTCAGTACTTCAAATAAATCCAAATGATTTATACTGTGGATCACAGCTGGAAAGAAGTCTTCCAAAGCACTTCGTCCACCAAGTTTAAAAGTTTGGCTTCTTCAATCAACATCTGTAGTATTTCTGCTGTAGCTCACTATGTGGTCATTTGGTGGATCTAAATATCTTGTCAGATTGTCCAGCAATGTGGTGACCAGCTGAACCACGGGGTTGCTCCACAGGGAGCTTTCTATTGGGCCTGTAAATCATAATAATAATAATAATCCTTGCATTTGATATAGCGCTTTCCCGTCTTCTCAAAGCGCTTCACAGAATATGCTGTAAAGTGAATTGACCGTATATTTGTGGGCGAAACACAGCAGCCAATTGCGCACAGCAGTGTCCCACAAACAGTCGTGGATTGAAAATGGCCAATTTTATTATTTTGTTTGAGGGGATGGAGTTTAGCCCATGTAGAAGCTGTGACCTTACGACACATGAGAGCTCTTTATTCTGGGAATGCAGACAAGTAGGATCCGAGCCCTGCTCTCTTCTGGGCTATAATAATAATAATAATAATCCTTGCATTTGATATAGAGCCTTATCACGTCTTCAAGGCGTCTCAAAGCACTTCACAGAATATATTGTAAAGTGACTT